GAACTCGATGCGCTGTTTCATTTGATACCAACTTCAAGGTTCTACGTTAGGGAATGTAGTCAGCAGACGTTCTACAAGTTCGGCCAAATCCGTCGGAAAATAACGAAATGCATTTCTCTGCTGCGAGCGTAAAATGGCTATAGCTGTTTTTCTAACAAAGCTATAGACTTGCGGTTTCCACCCTTCGATTCCGCTTGCTTAGCTCTTTAGCCGAAAACGTCACTCTGCAGTAGTATTTCTGGTTTTAGGACCCTCACATTCAATTTGTTCTCAATATCTTATGTATCATTTTGCAGCCCGTAGAATTCTCTATGGAATGATGTACAAAGTGCAGTGGTCAACGAGAAAATGACTGCACAATATAAGTGATGAACGCTGTTGACCTATGGATTTATCGAGGTCGGGGCAAGTATTTCTAGTATTAGGACCCTCAGACCCAATTTATTCTAAAAATCTTATATATCATACTGTAGCCTGTGAAATTCCCTGTCGAATGATATGTAAGGTGGAGTGATTAACGATAAATTGGCTGGACAATATAAGCAATGAACTGTATTGATCTATGGATTGTGGAGGTCGGGGCTAGTATCTTTGGTGTTAGGTCACCCAGACCCAATTTGTTCTCAATATTATCATATCATTTTGTAGCCCGTAAAATTCTCTATCTAGTAGTATACGGTAGTTGAGGTTTGCTCTGAGCAAAAGAGAAGAAATGAGGAAAATACTCTAAACAGAGTTCATCTGGAGAAAAGTTTGGATGCGAAACTTTTACCAGGAGGGTGCAGATGTTTTTTTTAAGGCGCTAGTTTTAATCACGGAGAAAAACTACAGGGTGGAAAATAATACTATTCAAGGGGGGACAGCTCAAACGACAAATGATATCAAAACGAATTATATACCAAATGAAAGCTCATCGGAAATGGGATTGATGAGTATAATTGATATTCTGTATGATGATTATTAGCTGTGGAATTATGGAGGTTTCTATCGAGTGCGTCATAATGAATGAGCCTCTTAGTACTTTCTCTTTTTCTCGTATCCGTTTAGGATCCTAAGATTAGTGTTATTTTTAAGAGATGCACCACGAAATACTCTACAAAGTCATACACAAACTTTAGTTTTAGAACTTCAACCAAGAGAACTACGTAAATTATACGAAAGGCGGAAAAACCGAAAACTTCGTACATTTGGTATTTTTTTCGACTTGAACTATTTTGTTCTGCTATCATTTCCGCAAAAAGTGTACCAAAAGTGAGCACTAGGTTCTTTTTTGTACTTTTGAATATGCTCTTTCTCGTGGTCTATAAAAAGAAGTTTTAAAGCAGATGGTGTGCTGGAAACCGAAATTTCAAAAATTTCTCCCCGTTTTCAACAATGTGTCCAAGCAAGAAACGGAAAACGTGTTCGAAGTTTTGATTTTGCAGTTAGATAGTGAAGAGCAACCATTTCTGATCAAAACAAAATAGGGCCAATAGAAAAAGCTTTTATTCTGACGAAGTTATAGGACTTTTACTGAAAGCAGCTTTATACCCATAATTGACGCACCCGACAGAAACTTCCATAATTCTACAGCTAATAATCATCATACGGAAAATCAATTATACTCATCAATCCCATTTTTGATGAGCTTTCATTTGGTATATAATTCGTTTTGATATCATTTGTCGTTTGAGCTGTACCCCCCTTGAATAATGTTATTTTCCACCCTGTACATCAGACCTGTGAATATGAGATTGATCTGAGAGGGGGCCGATTTTGCCTTTCATCGATCCCCGTCCTTTCTGTACTATTAGATTTACTCACATAAATATTTTTCTCTGATACAATTCCCATTTGCACATAAATATCTGTCTTTCAGCGGTGAACCATCTTCACATGAATATGTATTTCTCTCATCTTGACCTCCGATACAATCTATAACACCGTTCCCTCGTAAATATCTTGCGTTAAAACTGATATCAATTATTTGTGTTGGCGACGTTACATTTCGACAAGGTATTTCTTTCATCTCTTGATGATTACAATAAAATTCGTCGCTACCATCTGGAAATTGTTGAACATCATTACATACGCCATGTCGTTCAATACAGTTTCCATTCCATAGCATTGCTTGATTACGTTCATCAGTTCGATTGTATTTTAACCAGCCTTCATCACATATCCATTCTGTACAATTCATTTCGTCCAGACCATATTTTACATCCCATATCGTATTACATAATTTAGTAAAACTTATAAGATATTCTATGATATTCGATTGTTTTATTAAATTACATTCATCAAGGTCAAAATAACTACAATGAATATGATCCCAATTTACATAAGATGCTAATTCATCCGTACCATCAGTACATTGTTTAATGCCGTCGCCTAAAGAGAAATAGAACATGTACTTCTTGTTATCATATGCAATATATTGAATCACCTAAGAAATACAACATAACAGCGTCGGAACTTGTTTCACATTTATAACGATGTTGAAGAAATATTGGATCAAAATTTTTGAATATTAATTTATTTTGTTCATCTGATTTATCAATACAATCAGTAAAACCATCAAATAAACGGTATTTTGCAACGCATTCACCTGATATTGGACATCGATAAAAGTGCATAGAGCTGTTGCAGTAAGAGATATTACAAAACAAATATTCGAAAGGTGGGAACGGATAATCTTTTTCATAAATATCAATATAATTAATGCAAACAGTCATATTTAACTGTATCAATATACCTTGACAATTAAACATATCAGCACAAAATAAAGCTGGACGATGTGCATAAACTAATAAATATGGCGCCATTTGTTCATTCAATTCAAACTGATCAATATGAAAAAATGTTTTAATAAATGGTGATATTTTATGAGTACGATCAAATTGATACATTTTACCCAAACTTAAACATTGATCTTGAATATATTTAAACATGTCAGTTATGGTGCTCGTGTTTAATCTATCAAATGGATTTGTTAAGATAGTTTTCTGAATACTTTTCAAGCACGTATCATCATCTTCATCGTTACTATAATCATTTAGATACTGTTCTAATTTATATAAATAATAAAAATCTTGTCCATTTCTGCATAAAAGTTTATCATTAAATAGCGCATTCCATGATAAACATTGTCCATCACCGCACGAAAAGGATTCTTTACCACAAAATCGATCATCACAATGCGTATTAGCTAACTTAAAACACTTTATATCTGCAGATCTATCTAGTTCATATTGATGTTTTTCATCAGTACCGTCTATACAATCACGATATCCATTAAACAAAAGTTCAATATCAATACATAAACCATTTCTACAACGAAACTCATTTTCCTTATTGCATCCATTTATTTCAATTTGTTTACAATTCACTTCATCTTCTCCATTAAAACAATCTATCTCTTGATCACAAATATCACGCCAATCGATACATCGTTCATTATCATTTATATCAACACAGTGAATAAGTTCATAGCATGGCATTAAACGAATATATGAATACATATTATAAGTATTCATGTATTCTTTATTAGAAATATACTGTCGAATCGAAGCTACTACATTCATAGTATGCCATCCTCTATACCCAAAGGTATATTCACAATAACGTCCAAACATAAGTAGCGATGAACATTTGCAAATAAATAATTGTTCAATCGATAAATCTAGGTTTCGTCCTTGTTTTTTGTATGAAACATATTGTGCATAATAATCCAATAAATCAAGTGGTATACCCCATCCGTATAATCTTTCAGGTGTAATATCTATATACAAACAGAAAACAAAAAAAGATCAACGTAAGATGTCAGGCAAATTGTTTAACTTGTTTCTGTTATCATATCAATTTATATATAGTGCAACGTGTCATCTGCGCTATTGCATCTCATCCTTTATCATCATATGTCAGTTCACAATAAACCAGTCTTTTTCGAAGTTCCATTAACGATCATACACTTGTGTTCTTCTTGATAAAGTAGGAGTCGGTTTTCTAGACATCTTCTCAAGAATCAATAGACAGCAAGAACATTCCGAAGGTTTTCCAGAGAACTGGGTTTCTGGAAACCCTTTTGTTCGGAAAATACCAGATAACTCCTTTTATAGGTTATTTCACTTGCCGATTTCGATAAGACTGAGTAAAAACTCGTCACTATTCTGCTTAGGACTAGGCACGCACCAATACCAATCATTACTGAAGATATTGTGCAATATATATTATTGTCTATCCAATAATATTGGGCCCCAATATTATCGTATACTCAATCTATTGGGACCAATAATTATTGGTCACTCAATAATATTGTACAATAATATTAGGTGCCGCAATACACTGGATTCCAACTTTTTAACCTTAATATCACTTACCTTCGTAAAAACGTGGGGAAGCATATCCTGATCGGAATTAGGCATGCACCGATTAATAATCGATGCTAGGAAAATCGTTCCGAATCAGTTTTAAAAACGCACTTTAAGCTGTCGAATGTCTCATTTTGCAGAAAAATGTTTGCTCTACCAAACTGAGGTGCAAAAAGACATTTTAGGGTTATCTGCGACAGAAATATAAGCATTAAAAACTGAGCAAAATTGCGAAAAAAGCGACTGTCGATTATTTTTCTATGATTATAGTGCGTTTTCGATTTATTGTATTTTCTCTATATATAGCATTAAAATTTTTGTAGCGCTCCTGTTTGGTAGAGCAAACATTTTTCTACAAAATAAGGCGTTCGGGAGCTCCAAGAGCTTTTTTATAACTGATTTGGAACGACTTTGCTGAATGCCCTAATATTGATTATTAATCGGTGCACGCCTATTTGGGTTATATTTTGATTGAAAGTGAGATATAAAGCATGGGTCTGTACTGTAAAAGTAGGCCGAACTCAACTGACCCAATACCCAATAATATTGTGGAAATCCAATATATTGGATGACCAATATTATTGGTCCCAATAGATTGGGTGACCAGTATTATTGGGACCTAATATGCCTTGGCTCTTTCTTTATTTCATATTAGCCAAGTCCCTAAGCCGCTGCAGATTCTAGAGCGGCAGTCGTTTCGGGAGTTTTGCGAGTGTTGTTAACATAATTTTTCCCTTAGTTTAACGTCGTTGAATACCGTAGTGTACGAAAAACACTCGGAAACGTTAGGTTTTTTCGAGCACTACGACGGTTACAAATTTTCTACTCCAATAGTATTGAGAGATACAACATTTGTTGTAGTTTTTTGCGCTGATTCCGAATCTCACCTTATTTTTCAATAAAAATGTTTCTGGAGTGAAAGAAACAGAAACTAACGAGGGAACTGCCCCAAGTGTCCGCTCGCTTTTTTGTTGAAATCTAGTGGAGAATAGGTTATCGACTATGCTGATTCCGAATATGACAATGGTTTTTGCTGCTAGGCCTTCGAAGACC